TAGATCAAAAACCATGAGTTCACACCAATACCTACAATTCCAATCTGATACTGCGGGGTTCACCTGCTTGCTTTGTTTTCCTTTCTGAATGTGTAGCTCTGCCCCCACTTAATGGGTTTAGAGTGGATGTGCAGTAAGAGGAGGGAACATTATACTTTGACGGTTATTGCCAAATTGTCCTCCGTAGAGAATGCACTGGTTTACACTCCCACTAGATATTTTAAAGCTTTTTCTTTTGCCAGTCTGATAGGTGAAAAACATTATTTCTGATGTTTTAACATGTATTACTATTATATAAGATAGCGTTATTATTTTTGAATGTTTCTAATGAAAAACAGAGAAGAACCTTGAGGAGGAAAGAGTTGTAGTTGGATTTAACTGCTGTCCTTCCATTTTTGTTCCAAGGAAAATAATGCGAATGAGTAAAGGTGCCTGTTAACGTTGGAATGGCTGCCTGGCTGTTGCTGGCAGAAGCTTGGTTGCAAGCAATGGGCGTGACTTCTGCTGTCTGTCCCAAAGAGCAACTGAAGTGTCCCTGTACTGGAGACTTGAGCCATTCAGAGGACAGGAGCTGGTGGGCTGTAACCAGAAAATCAGCTATGCTCAGTGCTCTCTTTCTCGTGATTAAAATCATTCAAGTTTAGACCTCCCAGAGAAGAAAGGCATTTCTGATTTTGGCAGATCTTAATACAGTTATGTACTAAGCTGAAATTGCCCATATGTGACCTTTTTTATTAACCTGCAAAAAAAAAAAAAAAGGCAATTTCACGATTCAATTTTATACGCAAGTACTTTTGTTCCTACAGGTCTCTATAGCCTGAAAATTCCTCATTATCACAATTCCCACTCCATAGCTCCTTGTGCACTCCCAATTCACACCAGTGCTCCATTAGAGCTTCTTCTTTAAATTCTGCCTTAAGTTTTAGGTAGATGTTTAGTCTCCTTTTCCCACATTAGTCTGCAGCCTCTTTGAGGGCAAAGACTGAGTCTTATTCATTGCTGTGCCCTGGGCCTAGTACTAGGCTTTGTATAGAGTAAATGATTAAAAAAAAAAGTTGTTGTTGAGTGTGTTAGCAATTGAATGAATGAAGAAATGACTGCAGCAGGAGTGCGAATGGTCAGCCCACAAAGGCTATTGCACCACAAGTTCCTGCATCTCTGGAGCCCAGGTGCTTAAGAGCCTCAAGAGACCACTCAGAAGGCACAGCAGCCCCTGTGCTTAGTGTGTTTGGGTCGAGGCTTCACACACACACACACACACACACACACACGCGCGCGCGCGCGCGCACACACCAGCAGGCTGAACCTGCAAGCTGGCTGCTGTTGCTGGAGACCGCCAGCCTACTTGCTTCCCCATTGAAGCCCCAAGGGGAAGTCCACACTTGCTACACCCCTGCAATGCCCTGCCAAGTTGAGAATCATTTCCTACCCGTCTCAGACAGTTCAAGCTGCCCCAGACAGGCTGCTCAGGACATTCCTATGTTATGAAATTTCCTTTTCTGGGGGCACTGAGTGTCATGGGAAATACCAAATGCCAAACAGCTGTTCACCTCATGGTGCGGGACCGTCCCCCAGCCCTGCAAAGCCTGTAGTGCTGCTCTACCAGGGACCTTGGAGGAGACGCCCAGGGCTGTCCTGGGATGTGTCATGTCCTGCCCCAGGTTCAGGTTAATTCCTTGCTTCAGTAATTTAAGATGAAATTACATATATATATGGAAAAGTCATAACTGTGATGCCCCTTCTAAATTAAATAACCAATGTATTTTATATATTCTATATTCCAATAATCCATATGTAATTCAGAGAGGAAATCACAGTTCTTACTTTTCCTCTCAAACATGTTCATCTTGAACATCAAATTTGGACAGTTTTCAGTATGTCTTTGTTATAAAGAATACGCAAACATATATTTTAAAAATGAATAAAACAAATGTGAATCAAGTAATATAATTTTCTTTCAACTGGCATATTTTTTAAATTGATAATTGCCAATGTTGGTGAGGTTGTGGGAAAATGAACACCGCCAATGAAAATATAACTTGGAGTAACTTTCCTTGTGAGCAATTTGAGGTATATCAAAAGCCCCTAAAATGTGCATTTCTTTTGATCCAGCAATTTTCTTTCCAGCAATTTATCCTAAGAAAATAATTTAAAATGCTATCAAACCATTGGTCATAAGAGTTAAAAAAAATTAGCAACCAAAAATTAGCAACCTGGAAATCCAAATTATCAACATGATAGAAAATTGCAGCCCTTTGCAGCCTTTAAAGTGATGTAGGTGTATGTTTTATGGGATAATAGACTGTAAAGTTTAAAAAACCAAATACTATTAAAAACAAATTTTTTATTAATTTTTTTTTTTTAATCCTCACCCGAGGACATTTTTACATTTATCTTCAGAAAGAGCAGGAGGGAAAGAGGGAGGGAGAGAGAAACATCAATGTGAGAGGGACACATCAACTGGTCACCACCCACACAACCCCAACCGGGGCCGGGGACAAACTGCAACCGAGGTACATGCCCTTAGCAGGAACCGAACCCAGGTCTCTCTGGTATTGGGCCTACATTCTAACTGCTGAGCCAAACTGGCCAGGGCTAAAAAGGGATCTTTTTCAAGAGGAAAATATGCCCTGGCCAGTGTCACTTAGTTGGTTGAGCATTGTCCTGTGCACCAAAAGATTGCTGGTTCAATTCCCGGTCAGGGCACATGCCGGGGTTTCGAGGCTCAATCCCTGGTAGGGGGGCGTGCAGAAGGCAACCGATAGATGTTTCTCTCTCACATAGATGTCTCTCTCTCTCTCTCCCTTCCTCTCTCTTTCTAAAATAAAAACATATTAAAGAGGAAAAAAATATATATATACATATAGGCACAGAAAAAAGAACACTGCCAGTAGGAGGTGGTATTATGGCTGATTTTAATTTTCTTTCTACTGAGATAAAAATGTATTACTTTGGCATATTTAAAGTATTTTTAAATAGTCTGTGAAAGATGCTGAGAGCTTGTTAGTACTTTTGTTACTGTCTAGGGGGTCTCAACTTTCCAAGCTATGAGGTGGGGCTCGGCAGCAGGGCAGGAAATTCCTTTTCTCTCCTGCCATCCACCTTTCCCAACCTGAGGCAACCACTTCAAAGACAGCCCTTCCCCAGCTGCTTTGCAGGTTTTGTGGCCTTTGTTATCTCTGTCCCCACCCACCACCTGCCATCTAGGGAAAGGCAAGGACCCCAGTGTTGACCCCATGTTGACATGTCTCCCTTCTCCAGCATTCCTTACCTGATGGGACATGTTTCTCCCGTTTTCTACCCGAAGCTCGTTGGTGAGAACAGACCACAGGCAGAAAGGGGGTGGGAGGGCCTGGAGAGGCAGGCAGTGTCTGACGGGGTAGGAAAGGGGCAGGGGTGGGAGTCGTTTCAGTAGAACTGCCTGGGTTCCAATTACATCCTGGCTCCACCTTGGGCAAGTCACCGCACATCTTCAAGCCTTGGTTTTGTTGTATGTGGCCCCGAGCTGCCGGCAATAATGGGTCCTGCCTCGTAGAGCTGCTGTGTGGATTCCACACTAAGTGCTTCCTGGCACATCGAAGTGTTTTGTTTGTTACTTTTTTTTTTTTAATCTTCACCCGAAGATACTCCCCCCCCCCCACCCCGCCCCGTGATTTTTCTTTTTTAGATGAAGTGGAAGCGGAGATTGTGGGTGGGAGAGAAACATCGATGTGAGAGACACATCACCCTTGACTGGGAACCAAAACTGCAACCCTCTGGTCCTCGGGCAAACACTCTAACTGCTGAGCCCAACCGTCCAGGGCCACTTCCGTGTTTTTTAAGTATCAGCTATTATCACCATTTTAAGAGCTGGTAAAATGTTCTCCCCGTCATCCTCCTTGCAACTAATGCTCGCTGCTTGTGTGGGCCTTCCTGAGGGCTGGTGCTACTGAGCTTAGGGCTGAAATGTTCTGCCACCCAACACTGCGCTAGGAAAGCGCAGCCCCCATCAGTACACCCGACACCCGGGGCAAACGTCAGCCTGGCATCCCTCCGCACAGCCTGAGCACCCGCTGCGACGCTCCGGCCAGCTCCCCTGCCTGCCACGGTCTTCACCGCTACATCTTCTGCCTCTTCATTTTTAGATCTCCCACATTCACCCTCTCCCAAGTTGGTCTTCCACTTCTCCATCTCAGAGGACTGCTGTTCACCAGCTGTTCGAGCTTTCTTCCCAAGACCAACAATTTCACCTAAATTCCCTCTTCCTAAAACATGGAATGTCCCCCACCCCACCAAACGCAGAGCTTAGTGAGTCAATCTGCTACTTAAACCTGTTAAGGCACTTCCCTTGCTCTCAGGAGGAAGGGGAACATCCCAGCTTGGGTGGTGAGGGCTCCACAGCCTGCCGGCCTCCCTCCCTCTGCGCATCCCGAGGCCCCTCCCCTCAGCCCGCAGCAGCGCGGGCTCCTTCTCATTTCTCAGTGGCTGTGCTTTCTGCGGCCTTTGCAGTACAGTGTTCTGCCCCTTAGGCTCCCCGTACCGGCCCTTCACACTCAGCTGAAATGCCATTTTGTCCAGAAGGAGCTTTCTGACTGCCCACTCCCTCACACTTGCCTGACCGAACCGTCCCTGCATGCTGTTGGAACTGCCTGCTTCCCCCCATTAGAAATCTGTGCAGGCTCCCAGTACACGGTCTTGCTCACTGCTGAATCCCAGCCTGAGACCGGTTGGCACACTGAGAGCATTTTAAAAAAGAGAAATGTATTTCCTCTCATGTTTTTGGTCTTTCTAGCTTGTGGCATGGACACCCTCCCTGCCCCATCTCCTGCTAGGTACCCCTCTCCCCAGAGCAAGTGCTTCATGAGGTCCTACCCACATACACCTTTCAATCTAGGGTTTCTATAAAAACTTTATGGAACGATCGTATCTCTCACAACTGCCTCATAAGAACTTTTTTTTATTATTATTTAGAAATGCAGTTATATACATAGAACAATTAAAATTAAATTAAACTTTGTACAAATATTAAAATACTATCTTCACACCCACTGCAATGTACAGGATACCAAAAAATATATATAAAATAAAGCAAACCCAAACTGACTGACATCCTGCACACAGTCAACAACACATGTATTGTTTTAAACCATGAGTACCATTCTGCAAGATTCCATAGTGGTGCGATGAGCCAGGGCAGGGTGTGGTGGGCGGCCACGCAACCTGCATCCCCTCTCCTGCCTGCTTGGCAATCCAAGTGCTTTGCCCCTGTACCCTCTCCAGAGAGCTCTGTTGCCTGGCACAGGGTTCAACTTTGGGGTTTTCATTAGAAATTCTACTAGGTTTTCAACTGGATATTAAGAGGTGTTTCCCAGCAAAGCTGAGCCTGCCAAACAAAATCCTCTCTGAGCCTTTCACTGAGGATCAGTACTGACGGTCCCTGTGCTGAGCACCAGGAGCCCAGCAGGCCCTGCAAGAGAAGCTTCCAGCTTCACTGCTCCCAGCAAGCACATCTGGAGTTCAGCTGGAAAGCCTGCACACCACTTCCCTTCTGGGTCCTTGATTCTCTTTAAGGAGGAAAAAAGGGCAAGGATGTAGAAATGTTTGCAGCATATTCCACTCTAGATGCAGGATGTAACTGGGAATGGAAGTGACATTGTTACGTGGGAAGCAAGTGGTCTGAGAGCTCCGCTGAGACTGGGAGGGGAGAGGCTGAGTGCTATCGATCGATCTGTGCCACCACCACCGAGGCAGGAAGAGTATACCTTTGTCTGTCTTGCCATTCAGCTTCTCCACAGAACTCTGTGGAGAGGGGGCAAGATGATTGGGGAAGATAACATTAGTTCCAGTTTTGTTTGCAAATGGAGTGTTAGAACACATACTGAAATGCCTTATAAAACCCAAAGAACTCACAAGTGGCCAGGACTCAGCCCACTTCACAGCTCACACTGAGTGAAAGGGGAACACAGCACACAAAATTCAGAAATGGCAAGAGATAGAGCCTACCTGCTGAACTAAGGCATTGAAAGGGATGGGAACTCAAAGTGATTCTCACCACACACTGGCCCTAGTAAGTCACTGGAATGTAACTGCAAGCTGCCAGGATGTACAACCTGCACTGAGTCAACGCACGCGTGCAAAAAATACCTTTTTAAAGGAAATCCTTTGGTGCTGACCATTCTCCTGGACAAGCCCTCTGCTGGACTCCTCTAGAGGTGAGCCCAGAAAAGCCAGGTTCTGGCAGTTTACCCATCTGCCCCAGGCTCCTCTGACATCCTCCTCCCCAGCAACCTGTCACCATCCTGTCTCTTAGCCAAGCCCCACTTTAGGCAGCTGTGAAGTCCCAAATCCCTGGCAAGGGACAAAACCCAGAAGCCCCTAAAACAGCAGCACATGGCCGATGGCTAAGAATCTGCTTCAGGGAAAAGAGAACGGCTCTCACGAACGTCAGGAGGAATGAGGCCTGCCTGGTTCCTGCACCCAAAGGCCCTAGGCCTCCAGAGGTGGGCCTTCTCAAAGGCAGTGACGGGGGTGGGGGGAGGAAGGGAGAGGAGAGATGGGGAGAAAACAGGAGGCTCCCATTTATTTACCCTTCTTTCTTTCCTACCAAGCACACAAATCTGGGTTTGTGCACCCCCCCCCCCCCCCAGGACAGTGTTAATGGCGGCCAGTTGGAAGAACACTTCAGAAGGAAGGCTTTTCATTTTTCCAGGGTCTGAGCTGGTAACCTATGTAGCTGAATAAACCCAAAACAAAAAGTGCAATCTCTCGGGGGGGCGGAGTAATGATATAAAAAAGGGTAAGGTCTTTCATTAAAAGAAAAATTCTAGGCTAGAATTCAGGTTCTGGATGATTGGAAATAAAGCTGCAGGCTCAACAGACTGTGGACCCCGCACCACTTGCCCCTGATTTATTTTTCAAAGGAAGTCAAGGTTACACCCTGTGGAGAAGAGCCCATGCATGATGAGGCAGCTGGGTCATTAGGGACCCACCCTCCAGATGGGCCCGGAGCCAGCAACTGCTGGCAGGCACTCTCTGGCAATGGCCTCTTCTGAGGCCAAGGACAGGCCCCTGGCACACTTCATCCCCCCCCAAAGGCTTCTGCATTCTAGTTTGGCACCTTTGACAACCTGTTCCACTTGTAACCATGCTGTTCTGGGCCCACAACACTCTCGGGCTCCAGGGCGGGGCAGGGGAGAGAGGTGGGAGTGGCCAAAAGCACAGCAGGCACTGCCCTTACCCTGAGAAAGGAAGACGACAGGGGCAGCGAGGCCAGGAATGAGCAGGCAGTAAAGTGCGTGTGTGAGTGGAGGAAGGAGGCTGAGAGAAGGCCATTCCCCTAATTTTCCAGGTCATCTACTCCTGTAGCTTCCCTGTTTGGTCAGGTATTGAAAATATATTGGGTTCTTTATTACTTTTACGACCCCAAACAGAGAGGCTCCATGGAGGCGCAGAGGTGCAGTATGGGGTCAGCTTTGAAGTTCCCCAGCCCCAATGTTTCAAAAACAAGCATTACTTAATGCCACATCTTTTGAAGATGGAAGCAGCCTGCCTGAGCTCTGCCACTCCAGCCTTGTCAGCATTCAAGATGTGGCTGAGGGAGAGACATCGAGACATCGAGCAGAAGTATCTGGAGCATTGAGCCCACTCTGTCAACACCAGGGCCCGGTGCCAGGATGCTTTGCAACCCTGCACCCACTGTGGCCAGCAAGGTGTGTGTGTGTGGCGGGGGGTGGGGAGGACTGTCTCTTAGCCCCTCTTGCAGGTGCCAGAGAAGACCAGGGAGTCATTTTTCAGCTGTGAACAGGAGGCAGGGACGGCAGGGGAGGGAGAAGTAAAAGCAGCAGTGCAGCAAGCAGCAGGACGTTTCCTGGAAACAGTTACTAAGGCACATGACTGTGGTGAGGCGGACCCTCAGGACCAGGGGCTGGAGCTGCCTGCAGCTGCCTGGGTAAGGGACTTAGTCTGTGCCTCTCAGGTTCCCCTCCATCACCACAAACCCAGAACGGGCAACTTGCCCCAACTGTCAGTGACCAGATGGGCAGTCCATGGCATCTCAGCAATCTCCTGTCCCAGGGATGATGCATCTCGGGCCTCTGTGGGCAGCAAGAAAGCAGGAGCTGCCCAGGATAAAACCCAGGAGGCAGCAAGCAACTTCCCCTTATACTCCAAGGAAAGAAACACGGAAGCCAGGAAGGTCGATGCTGAAGTAGGACGCGAGGATCTGCATGTTAGGAAGACAATCGTCAGCCGCCTTCCTGCCCGCCCTTGGGATCTTCTGGATGCTAACTGGAAACTCATTTCAGCAGGGCCAGGAGCCGGAACCTGTGAGCTAGACAGCCAGGTACTGGGACAGCTTTGGCAGGAATTCCCACATCCTCTGTCCCAACCAAGAAAATGTGCCAACAGTGTCAACCAAAGGCAGGCCCAGGAACCCACACTCTTGTCTGCCCAGCTCTCACTCTTGGATCTGCCCCCTGGTAAGGGCAGAGGTGCAGTCCTCAAAGGAAACAAGCCAGACCCAGGCCCAGCCCCTCGTGTGGCAGAGGGCAGCCGTGCAGCCACTAAGGCTTGTAGGACAGCACAGGCCTGTGTGACAGGGACCCTGAATAGGGTCGGGAGAAGGCACAAGTAAACACAGTGGCTCTCTGGCCCATGTGAGCTGCTGGGGGCTGCCGCCAAAGAGTTAGCTGGAGGGGACCCAGAGGGCTCAGGGAAAGGAAGGGTTCAATCCAGCACATTCAAAGATGTTCCCGACACAGATGGGAAGGCTGGGCCAGGCAGAAAGCCAGCTCCTCCAACTGTCCAGCAGCCAGATGGCGAGAATATTCCTTGAGTTTCCAGCGAGGTGGGCCTGCAGGCCCTCAGTGATACATAGATCCACAGGTGGCAGCTCAGCTATCCGGGCAAGGTGGCTGGAGTACAGGGTGCTCAAACCCAAAGGGAGAGGGAAGAAGGACAGAGAGGACCATTGCAGAGAGGAGAGAGGCCGGTGGCAAATCTCATGCTTCTTTCAACAGCGGGATATCTACAAGAAGACAAGGAAGAAAAGCACAGTGGTTACACAACATGGGTCTCTCTGCAGCATACCTGATACCATTGCAGGGGTCCCCACACAGCCCCTAATTTAAAGAAATAAAATGTACTACTCATACTTTTCCACGTAGTCTAAATAAATCCCTTGTCTCTTTTTTAGGACTTTGTTGCTCATCTCTCGGCCTATATGATAAAGTCTGGATGTCTGGTCTGGTATTCAAACCCCGTCTGGTCCCACCAACTCGAACCCTCCTCTGCCTTAACTGCTGGTCGGTTGCTTCTCTTCCTGTCCTTAATCTCACCCTATGAGAGTACTGAGCCCTGCTTAAGTCCCACCTCCTCCTTCATGCCATCAACCAGCCACGTGGTAATGAATAAATCGTTTCCCCCCTCTGCATCACAGTCATCCAGGCTAGACTGATACCTCAAGGTCCCAACTTCCTATGATACTGTTAGTCCCAGACAGCTCTGGCAGGGTCTGCAACAAACTTGATAACCTATAGGTTTTACTTTCTGAACCCCTCATTCTGATACGAACCCTATGATTCTTGGTTCCATTATTTCTCAAGTATAAGCTCCATCTTCCCAAGTGACTGACAGTCCAGGCAGGCAAAATGTTTTATATTTCTTTATATCACCCCCTGAAACCTAATCTGGCACCAGGCATAAGATGGGCTCTCAAAAATGCTTGTTTGGTACATGAACAAAGCAAGGTAGCAAGGAGGGGGAGGGAAGACGCAGGCACCATCTTGACTCCTTAGGAAGGATAAGGGCTGAGATTTGCACTTGCACATCTGTCAACATGCATGAACACAAAATATGTGTGCATCTGGACAGACAGTACATGTGGCTGGCTGCCCATGGAGTCAATGGCTTCCACCTTTAAACCTGGGTCAACTATTTAGTAGCCTTTCCTAGCTCTATGTTCTACCAAGAAAAAGGAAGGCATGTTGCTAATAATTGGGAAACTTCATAAACATGATCTTCATTCAAGAATTTCCCATTTCTGCCCTGACTGGTTTGGCTCAGCAGTTAGAGCGTTGGCCTACAGATCCAAGGGTTGCTGGTTTAATTTCCGGTCAAGGATATGTGCCTGGGTTGCAGATTCGATGCCCAGCCCTGGCCGTGCGGGAGGCAACCAATCCATGTAGATATATTGATGTTTCTTTCTTTCTTTCTCTCCTCCATCCTCTGCCTCCCTTCTTCCACTCTATTTAAAAGAAAAAAGAAAAAAAATCAATGGAAAAATATCCTCAGGTGAGGATAAAAAAAAAATAAAAAAAGGAATTTCCAACTTCTTTGCTTTCAGATATGCTGAACCTTAGGCACTTACTATGCCCAGAATTCCCTGGAAGCATAAAGTTTTCTCGAGGGGCAGAGGAGATTCGTAAGTACAGAAGTACACACGCTGTCAAAAGGGAAACATCTGGGTTTTGTCCGCATCCTGAACCATACTGGGATTTCATGTAAATGTTGGGACAGTCAATCCCAACATTCAACATTCCAGGCCCCAGCAAAGGCAGAACTGTAAGAGGTGGCAATTTTGTTCTACAGTGGGTTTGCCACAAAGGACCTGGAATCATCTGGAAGGCAGCATGTTACCATGGGGTTATAAACCCAGGCTTTGGAACCAGATCCACTTGGCATCATGTACTAGCTCAACCAATTACCAATAGACAAGTGACTTAGCCTCTTGGAGCCTTAGTTTTCTCATCTGTAAATTGAGGACAGTTATATGTAATACCTACCTCTTGGGATCACTGTGAGGTTTAACTGAGACAGTATAAGAAAACCAATTAGCAGAGGCCCTGGTATATTTAAGATGAAGCAGCTGAATGTTATGGAAAATAAACAGGCACCAGTTTTCTCTGTAATATGACCTCACACACCTCCTTTGTCATTCCTGTCCTTTCAGGAATCTGAAATTATAACAAGAGGACAGACCCCACCCTCACCTCCAACTAGCTGTCTACCCTTTGATTTAACCTAGCCTTGTGGCCATGCATAATTTTGGAGACTCCAAACTACCAAAATCCACAGACCACAATGAAAGTCTCTCTAATACAGAGCCCAAAGAGCTACCTGGAGCTGAGGGTAAAATCCTATTTGTAGGCTAATATCCCAGACATTATCTTTCTTTGCCCCACAATACACAAATTATTAGAGAGGCTCACATTCTTCCTTACTCCCAGCAAGGACCCAGAGCCGCTAGTAATTCATGACCAGTGCAGATCACCTACCATCTGTGTAGTCCTCCGATGTGAGGGATAATAGGCTTTGTATGTCACTGTTCTCTGAATCTGGGGCTTCTTTGTGTGCCAGTTGGCTGTTCCCTGAGCCGGCCACCCAAGAGGAGGTGGTTGCCTGATGCACTATGACAGTCTCTGAGCCCGGAGAGCCCCAGGCTTCACACAGTCCAGATTGGCCCGGGGCCTCCTCCTCTCCACCTGCAGAGGAGCAGGCCCCCTGGTCCTGTAGATGCTGCTCCCTTGACCCGCTCCTCCCACTAGACCCAGACCCTTCTGACAGCACAATCTGCACTCTGGGGTCGGCGGGCGGCACACAGTGACCAGAACTGCCATACACGGCCTCCTCATATGACGGTAGTGCAACCTGGACTCCATCCACCATGATGGAGACTTGGTCCCCAGATACCCCCTGGTCACGCCTGCATTGGGAGGAGGAAAAGACAAAGACAGAATGAAAATACACAGACAAATAAATACCATAATACTAACATCACAACCATTTCTGAGCACTTACTATGTGCCAGACACAACACTAAGTGCTTTATATACTTCATCACACTGAATCCTCACCTGAGCCCTTTCAGGTAGAGATTCACACCAAAAATGCAGATGAAGCTCAGAGAAGTTAAATAACTTGCTCACAGTCACAGAGCTAGTAAGGGAGGAAGCTGGGATTTGAATCCAGTTACACCTGCTTCCAGAAACTGTTCTTAACCTCTGGGTACACAGGCACCTAGCTCTCTGGTCCTGTGCAAAACTAGGAGCCCAGAGACCTGGAAATAAAGCCATTCATTCTGCACAGCTAGAATAAAAAGTGAGAAAAGTGTACCTGTGAATACACTAAACCACTGTCTGTATACTTAAATGAGTACATTGAATGACATGTAAAATATATCTCAGTAAAGCTTTTTATTTTTAATTTTATTTATTTGTTTTATTATCCTCACTTGAGGATATATTTATTGATTTTAGAAAGAGAGGAATGGGGGGGGGATATCGATGTGAGAGAAAAACACTGATGATTGGTTGACTCCCGTACGTATCCAACTGGAGATCAAACCCGAAACCTTTTTGATGTATGGAATGATGTTCCAACCAACTGAACCACCCAGCCAGGGTACCATAAAGCTGTTTTTTAAAAAGGAGAGAAAAAAGCACTATGGTCTTGAAATGGGACACTGGACTCAAACTCAGAAAAATTTTGTTCTTCTGACTCAGCTACTTTGCTTGCTTTTATTTTTTTAACTTTTTACACTATTATGTGAATTATAACACAAATATAGAAAAGAACACATAGAAAAATATGTAACTCACTGCTTATCTCAAGGGTAACACTGTATAACCCTTACCTAGGTCAAGAAAGAGAACACTGCCAGCACCCTAGACATCCCTTGTACCTGTCCCAATCACTTCCATTTCCTCATCGCCATAGGTAACCAGTACCTAACCTGTATGAAAATCACCCCTTTGCCTTTTAATAGTTTTATTGCCTACACTTGAATCCTCCCATATCACAGTTTAGTTTTGTATTTCTGATCTTTATATGAATGGGCTATACAGTAAATTTGTGTTTATACATATGTATGTGTCTGGCTTCTTTTACTCAACATTATGTTGTGAGATTTATTCATGCAGACACCTTTTTGGGAATCACTTGTTACACACACACACACCTTTTTTTTTTTTTAAATCTGAACCACTTTGAAAGTAAGTTGAAGACATTATTAAGTACACACCTCCCAAGAATCTAATCTCCTATTTAACTACAATATCTTTACATCTTAAAAATTTAACATTGCTATAATACTGTATCATAAATTTTCCCAACTATTCACAAATACATCCATTGCAGCTGTTGTTTGTTTTCATCCAGGACCCAATTAAGGATCATGCACTGCATTTAATTGTCCTGCCTCTTTTATCTCCTTTAATCTAGAACAGTCTTCTACAGCTTTTCTTTCATGAACACTTTTTATAGACTCCAGGCCAGCTGTCTCCTAAAATGTCCCACATTCTGGACCTGTATAAATGTTTCTTTGAGATTAGATGCAGGCCAATGTTTGGCTAGAACACAACACAGGTGATGTGTCCTCAGTGCATCACAACAGGAGACACATGGTCTATAGCTGGACAGCATTATTGCTAGACTGTTATTAGTTCTCAATTTCCTCATCTGTATTTAGAGATAAAATCTGTGATACCCAATTCAAACGGCATATACACTGTGAGGATGACAGAGGTAACATTTATAAAAGTACTTAGAGGTTTCTGGAAGGAAAACAAACTTTGATGGCAAGGTGGCATTTATAAAGCAGTGTGGCCCTGGCCGGTTTGGCTCAGCGGTTAGAGCATTGGCATAAGGACTACAGGGTCAAGGGTTTGAGTCTGGTCAAGGGCATGTACCTGGGTTGCAGGTTCAATCAATCCCTAGCTAGCTCCAGTCTGGGTCGTACGGGAAGCAACCAATCGATGTCTGTCTCTCCCTCCCTTCTACTCTCTTTTTTTTTTTTTTTTTAAAAGGGGGGAAATCCTCAGGTGAGGATTAACAAGGACAAAAAAATGTTTTTTAATTAAAAAAAAAAGGAAAGCAGGCCCTGGCCAGTTTGGCTTAGGAGTTAGAGCATCAGCCTGCAGACCAATGAGTTGAGGGTTCCATTCCGGTCAAGGACATGTACCTCAGTTGTGGTTCGTCCCCAGCCCTGGTCAGGTCACACAGGAGGCAACCAGTCCATGTGTCTCTCTCTCACATGGATATTTGTCTCTTTCTCTCCCTCCCTCCCACTCTATCTGATGATAAACGGAAAAATATCCTCAGGTGAAGATTAAAAAAAGAAGAAGAAAAGAAAGTAGTGTGTATTCTGGCATGTGCTTAACTTTTTGTTATTCAAAATAATTTTTTTGTTTAAATTAAACAAAAAATCCGGTGTGGCTCAGTGGATTGAGTGTCATCCCATGGACTGAGAGGTCCCAGGTTCAATTTCTTGTCAGGGCATGTACCTGGGTTGCAGGTTCAATCCCCAGTAGAGGGTGTGCATGAGGCAGCCGATAGATGTTTCTCTCTCACATCGATGTTTCTATCTCTCTCCCTTCTTCTCTAAAAAAATAAAAACAGATGAAAAAAAGAAAGCAATACATATACACAGTACAAAATTTAAATAGGGTCTCAAATGAAAACCTAATCTCCCTTCTACTCAAGTCGGGCAAAATCAGCCAGTTACTTTTAACAGACTTACTAGTTAAATGCAAGAGGGAGGATACTCCCTAATGTGAATGAAATGGCAAATAGATCAATCAGCTTGACTTTATGTAGAAATAGAGGATTTCTTCAAGCAAATGGTCCCCTCCAAATCCTCTTAATTCTACTAACTGCTTAACAACCTTTAAAAATAGCTGCTATCCACTCCCACCAAATAAAGTAAAAAGAAGAATAATCACACATAGTGCACGAAGATTAAACTGAGCCTGGTTCTTGTCTGTAAATTCCAAACCAGAAGCATTTTGTTTAATGCTGTTTAGTCTGTTTCTTCATTGCTTTAGCCTATGAGTGACAACAGTGAATGATGAAGAGCTGTGAATGAATAGAAACTGTTTCTGAGAAAGCGAATGAGCTAGTACAGAGGCCCTGACAGTCTAGGAGAGAAGTCCATCCTAAGGGATCCACCCAGGGCTGCTCCCCACCATTTGCCGACCCCTCCATACTCACCCAGTTTGGGTTGTGGCTAATGCAATCAACTGGAAAAAAGTTGGGCAAGAAAACCACCTCCTCTGTTTTAGTATGGTACAGTGCACTGGCTCCAAGTTCTAGCTGCACATTAGAACTAACTGAGGAGCTTTATAAAACACTAGTACCAGATTCCCACTCCAAACCAAATAAATCAGAAGGGCTGGAGGTGGAGGCCCAGGTGTTGGGATTTGTTTTCAACTCCCAGTAGGAGTCTCTGTGTACAGCCAGGACTGGGAACCAGGTATATAGGGCAGTGGCTTGTAAATACAAGCCTGCGTCTGAATCACCTGAAGGGATTGTGGAACCCTGTCACAGGGCCTCAACTCCAGAGTTTCTAACTCAGTTGGGCTAGGGTGAGAACTGAAAATTTGAATTTCTAAAAGTCCCCAGGTGATATCAATGCTCCTGAAACCACACTTTGAGAACCACTGATGTAGGGAAAAGAACATGGTTTTGTAGATGGACAGATAAGAGTTCAAATGTCAGCTCTGTCATCATGTATAGGGATGACTCTGAGTAAATTACTTAACCTCTCTGAGCCTCAGTTTCCTTATCAGCAATGTTCCTGTGAAAATTTTTAAATTGAATTTATTGGGATTACATTGGTTAATAAAATTATATAGGTATAAGGTATACAATTCTATAATACATCATCTATGTATTGTATAGTATATTCATCCTACGAGGATTAAGATAATATATGCAAAGCAATAAGCACAGTGTCGGGCACATCAGGACATGACAGAGCCCTCCCCTTTCCCTGGGCACCTACAGACCAGCAGAGGCTAGCAGACATAACAGCAACCCTCTGCGAGTCAAAGGCTAGTCCCCACAGTGGATGCCTGCCATCCCATGCTCACCTGCTATGATGGAAAGACTTCAGCTTTGGCTGCAGAAGCACAAACAGCACCACAAGGAGGAGAATAAGTGCCACGGAGCTGGCAGTGGAAGCCACTATGGACAGTGCGGGGACCCCGAGTGACGTCTTGGTGTCTTTCTCTAAAGAAACAAGCCATCATCAGAAGTTTGTATCCAGACACATACAACATGAGCCCCACAGCTGATCTTATCAGAGGCCCCTTGCAGGGTGCCATGCAGAGACACGCCTTGGCCAGGGCCATTTTAGGAGTTAACAGTGAAAATCAATTTATACACACACAAGAAAAGGGGCCATTTCCCTATCCTGTTTCTGAATCTAACATTCCCTTCATTGTGGGTCTTTGAGGACCATCTGACACCTAAACTCACTCACCTAGGTATCTTACCTTGAACCATTCTGCTCCTGTCCTCCAGTAGCCACAACTATTTAAATGAACACAGCAGTCCACCATTTTAAGTCGCACTCATCTTTTTCCCCATGTAGCAAAAAAATTTATAAGAACTGGGCTGTAATAATCCCCTATCCTAAGATCCTGTAGCTTTAGTTGTAACTCTCAGGTCAGTCCGCACCCTTCTCTGGGGCATGATGGCCTCAGAGCCCAAGCTGCACAAAGATGGCTGTATGATACATACTTTCCTGCAGGCAGCTGGATTCTCCTGTCATGCATGACAGGAGGAAGTAGGGGGTAGGAGAAGGTCTTCTTGTCCAGCTGGACTGTAGCTCCATAACAAAACAGTTCATTACCATTCAAAATAATAATATAAAAGAGACACTACAGAAGATGTTAGCAATGTGCTCATGTATTAGCAGAACATGGTCAAAGGTCACTAGCACTTGGCTAGGCAAACGAGATCATGAGCATCAAAGGGATCTTACTCAGCAGAACACATGCCTCAGCAAAGCTACTGAGCCCCTTAATGGCTCAGTTGAACCAAGTGGGACATGCACCAGCAACCCCAAATGTCTTTCACAAAGACATGAAATCACAAAGGAAGGGAGTCTGCAAGGCATCAAAGGGCCCATACTGTCCCACAGCACAGGATGCTCAGGAGGAAGTGGGCGCCACTTCCCTTGAGTTAAAAGAAAATAGAACCCCCTTCTCATCTGCCAAACTGACCCTCGTTAAGATGGCAGCTAATCTCCATGGCTGGTTTCCATTCGCCATTCTTACACGTCAGGTATTTGTAATCGCCCTTTAACATGTAGCCTTCAGCACACAGGTACTCGATGACACTGCCAGAGTTCAGAGGCTCTTTGCAGGGCCGGGGGTGGCAGACGTAGCCACCATTCTCTGGCTCCGGGGGCAGGGAACACACTGCAAAGACAAAGAGAGAGCGATGGTACAGTGGGAGTACTCTCAGTGACTCAGAGGACAGTTCCGAAGGCCTCAATAAGAAACACAGGGAGAACAAAGCCAGGTTTTTGGAAAGGCTGTTGGCCCTACTGTGGAAATGCAAGTTGCCACTGGGAGAGGGAAGGGCGCTGGCAACAATGGAGGTTTGGCTGCTTGCAACATTTTCCCTTCCTCTCCCCACTGTTCTTTAAGAGAACTGCACCCACAAGTGAATGGTAGACTGACAAAGTCCTGGACTTACAGAGATCTAGCATATAAATATGGTTTTAATAACACCTACTGAAACACATGACGAATCAGTGAAAGGTGATACTCTTAACCTTCATGGAGGAAATGTTAGCCTTGTTTCCAGTATTAATACCAGAAAAGACTCCTTCTTGCCCTGGCCAGTTTGGCTCAGCAGTTAGAGCATTGGCCCGAGGACCAGTGAATTGTGGGTTCGATTCTGGCCAAGGACACATACCTCGGTTGTGGTTCATCCCTGGCCCTGGTTGGGGTCATGTGGGAGGCAACCAGTTGATGTCTCCTCTCTCTTACATCGATGATTCTTTCTCTCTTCCTCTCTCCTACACAGTCTGAAGATAAACAGAAAAATGTCCTCAGGTGAGAATTAAAAAAAAAAAAGGGGCCTTCTCAGTGGCAGAGGGGATTTCTTTTTAGACCTCACCCGAGGTTATTTATTATTTTTTTTTCTTTACTGATTTTAGAGAGAGAGGAACAGAGAGGAAGAAAGAGATAGAAACATCAATGAGAGAGAATACTGAATGGTTGCCTCCTCCTGCATGCCCTCCACTGGGACTGGGCCCACAAGCTGGTCATGTGCCCCGACTGGGGATCGAATGGGCAACCTCTTGGTGCATGAGTCAATACTCAACCACTGAGCCACACTGGCCGAGCCTAAGGATATTTTTTTTCCATTTACCTTCAGATAGAGTGGGAGGGAGGGAAGGAGAGAGAGAGAGATGGCTGCCTCTCACATGAACCCAACCTGGGCTGGGGACGCTTTGGTCCACAGGCCAACACTCTAACCACTGAGCAAAACTGGTGGCCAGGGCAAGAATGAATTTCTGATGGGTTTCCTGGGAGCACTTCCCATTTCCTGACTAGACTAGTCATTGGCATCACTTGTCTCCAGCCTATAGTAAATTCCTCATTTTTTGTTAAGGTAGGACTGTTAATTCTTAAAAGTACTTTCCACAATACAATATACAAATGATGTATTATAGAATTATAGACTTGATACCTATATAATTTTATTATTCAATGTAACCCCAATTAATTAAATTAACAATATATATTTTTTAAAAGCACCTTTACCTCCTATCTTTTTTTTTTAATCCCCACCGGAGGACATTTTTTTTTTTTTTTTGCATTTATCTTCAAACAAAACGGGAGGGAAAGAGAGAGAAACACTGATGTGAGAGAGACACATCAAGTGGCTGCCACCCACAAGACCCCAACCAGAGCTGGGGACAAACTGCAACTGAGGTACGTGCACTTAGTGGGGACCGAACCCAGGACTCTCTGGTCCATGGGCCGACACTCTAACCATTGAGCCAAACCGGCCAGGGCCACCTCCTATCTTATTAATTTGCTCTGACAACTCCATGAGGTAGTTATCATGACTGCCCTTTGAAGACGAGGACACTGAAGCCCACAAAAGTTAAATGACTTTTAGCCAAGTGTAAGCAGACTAAATGGCAGACCTGGCAGCAGAATCGAGTCTTCTGGTTCTAAACCTGTGCTCTTTTCACCCGCAGCCACTGCTTCTCTATTCCATGAGCTAAGTGGGCCTTTACAAAGTCTATCAAGTATATCATTCAAACAGGTCAGTTAGGGAGATGGCAAGAGATGCCTAAGTGTGGTGGGAACTCCAGTGTAGATAAGTTGCAGTAATAACAGGTCAGAGAGCTAGAAGGTGGAAGGTCTGAGCAGCCCTGGGGAAGAAGAGATGCCATGGTCTGTTCTTCTAAACCTGGACAGATAGCAGAACTGAAGTCCCAGGAAGTAGATTAAGAGTAGTGTACTTAGAGCCCTGGACAGTTTGGCTCAGTGGCTGGAGCGTCGGCCCGTGGACCAGAGAATCACAGGTTCGATTCTGGTCAGGGGCACATACCTCGGTTGCGGTTTGTCCCCAGCCCTGGGTGGGTCGTGTGGGAGGCAGCCACTCGATGTGTCCCTTTCATGTCGATGTTTCTCTCTCTCTCTTCCTCTCTCCCCCTCCCACTCTATCTGAACAAAAAATTGATAAATGTCCTTGGGTGAGAATTAAAAAAAAAAAAAGAGGTGTACTTAGCCAAAATGGGGGGGGGGGGGTGCCACAGTGTGGGCACTAAGGGATCACTGTTTGGAAGACTAAGCTGGGAAGAAGACCCGCTGGCAGAATGGCAAGGCACCCATGAACCTCAACTTTCCAAAGCCTTACTAATGCAAGAAAGAAAAATTTCCAAAGGACATTGATTTTGCTGATAAATACCCTGTCCCTATTCTGAATACAAGGACAACAGTCTGAGAATAGAAACTGTGGATTTCTTTTCTTTTCTTTTCTTTTTTCTTTTCTTTTCTTTTTTTCTCCACTTCCTCTAACAGATCTAGAGTCTCTGTCCCAGATAAGGTGATCTCCCATTCAGAGGCCCACCCACCACTCTTTCACTAATGCCCTTACAGCTTCTCACCAAATACCACTTCCCTTCAATCAACAAATAGCTCTTAAGCAAGCTGTTAGCCAGGCTGGAGGGTGGATACCAAGTCTAAAAGGAGAGGATGGCTCACTGCCCTCAAGCTGCTAAGATGGGGACAAACTCCATTTTTAAGGAGCTATTAATAAAACAAAGCTGGGGTAAGGTGTCACAGGGATCAGGAGGAGAAGACTGAGCAGTTTCTCTGAAACTAGTAGATGAGTCTACATGTCTCCTTGGTCCCCCCTCTAAGGATATACCTTCTTCCCACACCACCACCCACCTGGCCCAAAGTCTTAAACAGGGCAGAGACAGACACCAAACACTCCTTCTGGTGCCTCTGTAAACTTTGGCCAAATAGTTCAGAGAGCTGGCCGGCTGAATTTCTAAAGAAACCTCAGCAAAGTGCTTCACCCTTTATACTTTCCCTCTTTTGTTCAGGCAACAAGCCTGCCACAGATCCCTCCAGCTCTCCTCTGACTGTGTCTAATTGGTTCATTTCCTCAGCATAATTAATGCTGAGCATCCCAGGACAGCTCCTAAAAGCAGGCAGGACCCACACACAGGTCCAGTGTGCTGGGAAGGATGGTCTCTGGGGAAGAGTTACTGATTCTAAAGCCATTCCTACTTTGCCGAGAATTCATGTTCTTAATGCCCACATCGTCACAGAATCTTTGAGCAGACCCTGAAGGTGACATCACCTAGCACTCGTTTTTATAAGTGAAAGAATTAAGGTCTACAAAGAAGTGGCTTGCAATTCCATTTTACTTCAATTCAACTAATATTTATTGATTACTGTGTAGAGGTCATTGCACCATGCTCTGAAAAAGAATAAAAACATAAGCATTTCAGGTACTTGCAGCCAAATAGGGATATGACAAATAAGTACACACGTATTCTTAAAGTTGTTTTCTTTTTAGCTCCTGAGTTTTGTGTCTTGTTTAAGGACACTTTCTGTTTTCTGAGGTTATAAAAATACTCTCCAACATTTATAGAGTGGATCTTTGTTTCGCAAATAATACTTTTACAGGAAAACACACACACACACACACACACACACACGAAGTATACATGGTATAAAATTGAAAAACTAAGATGAGTGTACAGTCAAAATGTTAGCCCTTCTCCTGTCTCCTGGTCCCCTCAGCTCCTTTCTCCAAAGGCACTGCACCAGTTTCTTCTGTATACTTCCAAAGATATTCTACACTTAGACTTATTCTAAGACATGTCAAAGAATGTGACTGGTGCCACAGGAGAGGGAACTCAAAGCAGGAGAGATCACATCTTGTGTGGGAGAGATGAGGAAAGACTCATGGAGGAAGCATTTCAAATGGGGCTTTATTTCCTCAGGAAAGAAGGTGGTAGTTTGAAGCAAGTGCACTGATGTAGGAAAGCATAAGTTAAGCCCAGCCAGCATCAAGTAGCCCAGGTTAGCTGGGCTGAATAATATAATTTTTGAAATCTGGCAAAAAAAAAAAAAAAAAAGTGAAGGGCAACAATGCCATCTTAAAGAGGGCGTTGATGTAACGGGATGTTCACACTATATTCAAAGGAAAAGGGGAGCCTCTGCAGGGTCTTGAGAAGGGCAGAATTATAAGAGAAGCTGAATTTGATATAAGATGGACTAGAGGTAGAGACAGCCTTTACAGTAAGTCAACAGTACAACTACCCTAACATGATAAAACAAATAGTACAAAAGTTATTTTACATTGACCTGTGAAGATAATGCACAGGAAACAAGCTAGAGTATATGGGGTTCAGCATCACAAAGAGGCTGCCTCTGGTCCAAGAAAGGAGATAGCAGAACTTTAAAAAAAGGTATTTTAAGACACCAAAAACACAAGAAAAAAAAAAGTCCCTCTTTTCAATTCAAAGAGCACAGTGGGAGAGTCTTGGCAAAGGGCAGGTGTTGGAGCGGACCCTCTCAGTAATGGGGGTGGGGGTGGGGAGGTTTGACAGGAAAGATCAGGAATAGCAAATAAATCATCCAGTGGCTTCCTGAAGCTACTGTTTTGGTCAAGACGCTGACTTAATCTGAGCATCAGGCTCACTCTCTGACAACCGTTGGTCCGCAGAGGGAGTTTCAAGCTCTGTTCTTAACCCCAAAAAGACAATGAACTCATCTGATTTGGCCAAGCTGCATACTTTTAAAATGAGAGGGAGAAAGCCAGAAAATAGAAATTTTACAGAAAAAAAAATCGATTCTCTCTACTTAGCTTTCTTCTCTGCTTTCCATTATCTCTTACAACCACTTGGGCCTCCAGTGAGCACAGGAAGCAGTGA